TGTTGTTAAGTGCCATTGAGTCATAGATGACTCATAGCGACCCTATGAACAAAAGATCTGAACACCTTCAAATGGACAGACCAGTGCTATACCACTTAGAAGAATGTTTGACCAAAAATAATTAAAACCAGGGTAGGTCAACCTAAATGAAACTTAACAAAAATTCAGAAGACTTAAACTAATCAGCCAACTCGACTGAGTAGATGTATTAAAGGAACTGCACCTCACTAAAATGGAATTCACTTTCTTCTCAAGTGCACATGGTATGTTCTCCAGAATCGATCACATTTTAGGTCACATAGCAACTTCAACAAATTTAAAAACATTGAAATAATACAAAGTATCTTCTCATATCACAATGCCATAAAAGTAGAAATTAACCACAAAATCATCCATGTGGATTCTAAATAACTCTGTGCTAGAACATGATTGGGTTATAAAAAAAAATAAAATAGAGTGAAGTTAAAAAGATCCTTAAAACAAATTAATATGAAAATAATATATACCAAAACCTCTGAGATATAGCTGAGGCAGTCCTCAGCAGGCAATTTTCATAGCAATAGGCACACACGTAAAAAAGGAAGAAAGAAGAAAATTCAATGATCTAACTTTACCATGACCAATATAATTACCATGACCAAGTGGGATCCATAACAGGTATGCAAGGATGGTTCAATATAAGAAAAACAATCAGCGTAATTTACTATATTAACAAAGTAAATAATAAGATCCATATGATCTCAGCAATTGATGCAGAAAAGGCATTTGATAAAATTAAACAGCCATTCCTGATTAAGACATTCAGCAAAATTAGAATAGAATGGAATTTCCTCAGCATGGTGAAAAGTATATATGCAACCCAAGAGCCAACATAATTCTCAATAAAGACTAAAAACATTTTCCTTGTGAACAGGGACCAGACAAAGATGCCCACTGTCACTGCTTCTATTCAATATTGTATTGGAAGTGCTTTCTAGGGTAATATGACAAAAGAAGGAAATAAAAGGCATCCAGATTAGCAAAGAGATGGTTAAACTATCACTTTATGCAGATGATATGGTAGTGTACGTTGAAGCCCCAAAGACTCAACAAAAAACTGTTAAAATGAATAGATCAATTTAGTAGAGTGGCAGGATATAAGACCAATATCCAAAAATCAAGAAAACAAAGATTTTCACCACTGGGCTAATTGACAGCATCATGATGGATGGTGAAGAGATTGAGATTGTTAACAGCTTTAGTTTGCTTGGCTCCACTTGGTACCAGCAGTCAGGAACCCAAGAGAAGAATTGCGTTGAGAAAGTTGGCTGTCAGAGACATTCCCTGAGTACTGAAGAGCAATGATGTCAGTCCAGAGACTAAAATGTGCCTGATCCAGGCCAGACTCTTAACAATTGTTTGTTATTCATCAGAGAGCTAGACAATGACAGAAAGAGAATTGATGACTTTGAGCTGTGGTGCTGGAGAAGAGTTTTGAAACTACCATGGACTGCCAGGAAAACAAACAGGTTCGTCCTAGAGAGGGTGAAGCTGGCTTGCTCCTTGAAGGCAAGGATTATGAAGCTTTGTCTGACATACTTGGGGCTTGTTGCAAGGAGGGATCAATCAGTCCTTGGAGTGGGACATTATGCTTGGAAGGGTGGAGGGATAGAGAAGGAGAACATTGATGATATGGATTGATACAGTGACTGGGGTAATGACAGTAGGTGTGTCAGAGACAATAAATTTGGCACAGGATAGAGCAAGTCTCAGGGCTGTTGTACATAGGGTCACTATGAGTTGCAAGTGACTCTACAGCACATAAAAACAACAATAACAACATCAAAAAATCAGTTGGATTCCTCTACAGTAACAAATATAATTTAGAGAAGGAAACCAAGAAAGCAATACCATTTACAATAGCCAACCACAAATTGAGATACTTGGGAGTGACCCTAACTAGAGATACAAAAGCCCTATAAAAAGAAAACTACAGAACATTTCTACAAGACACAATAAAAGACCTAAAGAAATGGAAAAATGTGATGTTCCCTGTTCATGGATAGGAAGACTTAATATTGTGAAAATGACAATCCTACCAAAAGCAATCTACATATTCAATGCAATCTCAATACAGATATCAAATTCATTTTTCAAGGAGATTGAAAGGGAAATTGTCAAGTTTATTTGGGGAGGAAAGAGACCCTGAATAAGCAAAACACTTCTGAGAAACAAAAATGGAGTGGGAGGCACAGCACTCCTTGATCTCAAAACGTACTATACAGCAATAGTAACCAAAACAGCATGGTATTGGTACAATGACAGGTACATAGACCAGTGGAACAAAATTGAGAACCCAGAACAGCTATCTATGGTCAACTGATATTCAAGAAGGAAATCAAAGCTATCAAATGAGGATGTGACAATATCTTTAACAAATAGTGCTGGCAAAACTGGACTGCTACCTGCAGAGAGCTGAAACGGGATCCACATCTCACACTATACACAAAAATCACCTCAAGGTGGATCAGAGACCTGGGAGTAAAGCCCAAACCATAAAGTTCATAAGAGCTTGATCACAAACTGGGGTTAAGCTTAGAAGGCCATGTCTATGGTATAAAGAGACTGCCAAATACAGCCAGAAATGCACAATCTGAAGACGATAAAATTGATGACTGGGACCTTCTAAAATGTAAATCCCTGTGTGCATCACAAACTTTCTTCAAAAAAAGTGAAAAGAAAACCTACCGATTGGGAACAAACATTTGGCAATACCATCTCAGACAAGAGTCTCATAATGAAAGTTTATAAAATACTTCTGGGCCTCCACAAGAAAAAGACTGATAACCCAATTACAAAATGGGCAAAAGACATGGAAAGAATTTTCACACAGGAAGATATTCAAATGCCAAACAGACACATGAAGGAATGCTCCAAGTCACTGGCACTAAGAAAGATGCAAATAAAAACCACAATGAGGAACCATCTCACTCCAGGAACAGTGGCAAAGTTTAACAGAACAGCAAGTAATAAATGTTGAAGAGGATGTGGCGAGCTGGGAGCTCTTATACAATGGTGGGCTTGTAAAATGGTACAGCCATTCTGGAAGGCAGTTTAGCACTTCCTCAAAAAACTGAACATAGAAATTTCTTATGACACAGCTATTCTATTGTTTGTGATCCACCCCAGGAAAATGAGAACTAAGGCACAAATAGAGACTTGTATACCAATGTTCATAGCAGTATTATTCACTATCACAAGAATGTGGAAACAGCCCAGATATCCAACGACAATTGAATGGATTGAGAACTTATGGTACATTTGCACAATGGAGTACTATGCAGCATGCATGCAGGAGCAGTGATTTTGTAAATTATTACCTATCTTGGGAGGGACTGGAGAACATTATGCTGAGTGAACGAATTCAGTTTCACAAGGACACATATTGTATAAAACCATTATTGTAGAATGAGTATAAGGATCCACGGAAGGGGAGGGTGGAAGCAGAGAGTTGAGGATGTGGTGTTGGTGGTGGTTTAATCATGGGTCATACAGTTTGGTGTGGGAGGGGGATCAGGGGAAAAAAGAAATTGTTTCACACACACACACACACACACACACACACACACACACACACACAATCCAGTGTGCTGTTAAGTCAGCTAATAATGTGGAAACTTTTGAAAAGCCTTTTACTGTATTTTTGGTTTTTTTCCCCAGTAATTCTTGAGCATGAGTAACTGTGCACACATGTGTGACTGTATATGTGTGTGTGCACAATTAAGCGTGAATTCTCACTGCTATGTGAAGACACAATGAAAGTGTGTATAAACTAATGTAACATTTCTTAACTCTCAGCCTTAGTTATCTTTGACAGAGCAAACTGGAACAACTTCTGAACTAATTCCCAACTAGTAACTAATGAATAAATAAGTTCAAAATAGGAAAACATGCTGGTTTTCATATCTGTAATGATTTAAAACATTCTTTTTCTCTGTTTCAAGGATTTTGACTCTTTTTTCTCTGCCAAAGAGGAGAATATTATATATTCGTTCCTTGGCTTGGCGCCCCCTCCAGGCTCAAAGGTAAGATTTATCATGGTTTTGGGATCCAATAGAGGTCATAACTGAAGAAGCTAGAAATCAGCATTGAAGACTGTTTAACAAATGATAATCTTAAAAGCCATGATTTTAGTAATAATCTTAATTCTGATGAAATTTTCACTAATACATGTTTTATTCTAAAGTAATATTTTTGTATTTCTACTGTTTCTTGCTGGAGTACATTTAAAAAAAAACTCCAGTTGAGAACTATCTCTGCATTCAGTAATCTTAAATGGACCATATTAAATATGTAAAATAATATGACTTTCTGGGCTGTGTGTAGGCTTATTTTTTTAAAAATTATTTTTAGGCTTATTTTTAAAAGAATTTCTATTTAAAATGAATTTAACTTCTCATTTTTAGTCTGCTAAAGAGAGGGAAAGTAATCTAGAATTAAGAATAAGATGAAAAAATGCCTTCTGTTTTTATTTTCTAGTGTTTCATCTTTGGTTATATAGAACTATGCCAATTAAATAGAGATGATGCTAATAAAGCTAGTATTATGAATTTGAATTGTTAATACTGACCTCCTAATGTCACTACGCAGTGACCTCTGCCTTACTTATCTTAATCAAGAACTCCATAAATATCTCTCCAAAGACGCAAGTATAAATTTGCTTAATTAATTTATTTGTACTCAACTTCATTTACAAATTTTGTTATGATTGCATTTACAAATTTTGTTATGATTGAGTATTCTAATTTGAGGAGAAGCAAGTGAAAAGCCATAGTTACTGATTTTGTAGTGTGGACAGAGGTATAGTTTTTACAACTGAAGACCCATAATAGAGGTGTTTTTCACCTCTGGTCTTTAGCAATCTGGCAAAAATTGAAAATTGATGGTTTTCTTTACTATTTCATAAGTTAGACACTTACACAGAAGTAAAGTTACTCTCTTTACAAAGATCACAATGAGGAAAACAGAAAGAAGTGTTGAAAAGTATGTACCCACTTCTGACTTAGTCTCATTTTCAGATATTTCAAGTTTACAAGAACTTTAACAAAATTATCAATGGTCTGAGCCCTAGGTGCAGGGCATGAGGTTATGACATGATAATCCAAGATCACAAGAGAACAGTGGGAGACAGGGTGAGAACACGAAGGTAGTCAAGAGATGGGATGGGGAGAAAGAAAGAATAGTCTGCACAGGGCTTCAATGCTAGGGCAGATGTAGGCTAAGTGGAATCCCCAGCTAAGGGGGTCCCGAAAGATGGTGGCCAGTGAGCATCACCACCCTCAACTCTATTTTGGAGGGTTCTATGGTTGTAGGGTAAGGAAGCCCACTTTATCATTCACATGCATCTGAGTGCCTGTTGGGGACATCTTTGTCAAGGATGGAGTGTGGCCTGACTATTGCATCATGACCTAGTCTTTGGAACTTACCATGTCAATAACTGAGAAGTAAGTGTTCAGATATACCTGTTTTCTTGCACTTCAATTTATTGTGCTTCAGAGATAGTACAGTTTTCACATATTGAAGGTTTGTGGTGATCCTCTGAAGAGCAAATCTGTTGGCACCATTTCCCCAGCAATATGTGCTCATTTTGTGTCTCTGTGTCACATTTTGATAAATTTTGCAATATTTCAAACATTTTCATAATGGTGCTGTGACTTTAATAAACTATGTTGTTGTTATGTGCCATTGAGTCAGAACTGACTCAGAGCTCACCCTCCAGTGGGTTTTCAGAGGCAGTAAATAGCTTAAGAGGTTGCCCATCTTTTTCTTGTGGAACAGCTGGTGGATTCGAGCCATGGTCATTTGGGTTGGCAATGCAACTCCTTACCACTAAAGCAGCAGAGCTTCTTGAATAGACTATAATATAGTATAAACATAATAGACTATAATATAGTATAAACATAACTTTCTATACTTTAAAAACAACAAAAAAATTCTTGTGGCTTCTTATTGCGATACTCATTGAATCATATTGGTCTGGACCCAAACTTTCAATATCTCCCTCAAAATCCCTTATTTCTTCATTTTTCTGTATTTTTATAATGTTTTCCCTTATTTCTTCATTTTTCTGTATTTTTCTTTGGAAATTATAATTATTATTAGTATTTGATTGGCACTGGAATTCAGAACTTACCAGCCAATTCAAGGGAGAAATATGAGGCAGGCTGTTTCTGAAAAGATTGTATAGTCTTGGAAACTCTATGTGGCAGTTTCACTCTGTCCTGTATATAGGGTTTCTATGGGGCAGGTGTGTCATAGACAGTGAGATTGACTTAGGATAGGGAAGGGTTCAGAGCTATTGTTCACATGGTTGCTATGAGTCATAGAAGACTGGACAGCACCTAACAACCACATGAATTTAAATTGACTTGAAATTTGTCTAATACTTAACCAAATTGACATATCATAAATTTGTCATTCCTTAACTTTGTGCTTTTTTATTATTTTTTTTATTTGTAATAAACTTATTTCTGCTTTTACAGCTGCACAATGGCTGTATATAGTTCACGAAGTATGCCAGCAAGTTATTGTACCTTCATTTTCTTGACTATTATATTTTTGGATATTAGGGTGTTTACAATTTTTTTAAGTTATAAATAACCCTACAATGAGCAAAGCTACAAAATAGTGGTCTTCGCGTGAACTAGTTCTTTTAGTGACACAAGTGCATGAATGTGTGAGTATATGTCCTTGAAATGTGTGACCAGGTTCCTCATTGACAGGATGATGACGTTTGTTATATTGTTATATTGTACCATAATGTGCCAGTTTCGCGGCACTTCCCAGAAATGATCATGTTTAATCTCCTTGCTCTTAGGACCATTAGGTTTTATTTCAGATATTTGATTCTCATTTTATTGTGCTATGAAAGGATCATGGTGTGGTTACATAAATGCTATCTTTGTGTATATTTGTAACTCAACATATATTTTAATTTCTCTAGGAAAGTACTATTTTTCCCATTTTTTATTATGGTATATATACACTCAGAGAGATATTAAGCAGACACTTTGCTATTTTAGCAATTACTAAGTGTATAATTCAGTGGCATTAACTACTTTCACAGTGTTATGCCACTACGTATACTACTTCCAATTTTTTTCATCTCTCCAGACTTATTAAACTATTGTCTCCCTGTACTTATTAAACTAAAACCTCCTTTTCCTTCTCTCCAAAGACCCTGGTAGCTTCTAGTGTGCTTTCTATCTTTCTATACTGTACTCTGTACTTTGTAGATGTAGAATAAGAAGTTTCCCCCCATTATCAAATAATAAACTTATTAATGCTGTCACAGTCTCATAGAACTTGTTTATGTAGTTTGTATTACATTCTATAAGTTGATGTACCATCATTTTCTTTAGCATGATTTTATTTTGAACATTAAGCTGCTCATAAATTTTTTAAAAAATAAGTTACGTGCCTTCGAGTTGCCTGTCACTCATAGCGACCTAACGCACAAAAGCTCTGAACCTCTTCCTATTCTGAGCCAATCTCATTGTCTCTGACACACCTACCCTCATTTTCTCAGTCACTGAGTCAATTCATCTCATCAAGGCTCTTACTCTCCTGCACCGTCCCTCCACCCTTCCAAGCATGATGTCCTTCTCCAAGGACTGGTCCCTCCCGGCCACCTGCTCAGAGTAATTGGAGCTTCAAAATCCTTACCTCCAAGAAGCAGCTTGGTTTCATCCTCTCCAATACAGACCAGTTTGTTCTCTTGGTGGTCCGTGGTATGTATGTTCAATACTCTTCTCCAGCACCACAACTCACAGGCATTGATTCTTCTTCTGTCATCCATAGTCATTGCCCAGCTCTCTGATCTGCAGTGATTTCAACCATAAAATAGTGTTCCTTTTATTGAAGTATTTCTTTTGGATAAATTCTCACCTTTGATCAAGAGGAAAACTTATTCCAAAGTGAATATACCACATGTGGAACATCCATAGGTATGTTGTTGTTATGTTGTTAAGTGCCGTCGAGTCGCTTGCGACTCATAGCGACCCTATGTACAACAGCCCTAAACTCTGTTCTGTCCTGTGCCAATCTCATTGTCTCTGACACACTCATCCCGATTACCCCAGTCACCTAATCAATCCATCTTCTAGAGGGCCTTCCCCTCCTGCGCCTGCCCTCCACCCTCCCAAGCATGATGTCATTCTCCAAGATCTCTCTTTACAACATGACCAAAGTATGTCAGACGAAGCCTCAGAATTTGCCTCCAAGGAGCAGCCCAGTTTAACCCTCTCCAAGATGAATCTGTTTGTTTTCTTAGTAGTCCACGGTACCCTCAAAACTCTTCTCCAACACCAAAGCTCAAAGGCATCAATTCTCCTTCTATCCTCCCTAGTCATTGTCCAACTCTCTGATGCATAACATGTGATTGCAAAGACCATGGCCTGTATCAGATGCACCTTAGTGTCCAGAGAGACACCATTGCTCTTCACTTTAGAGAGGTCCCTAACAGCAGACATTCCCATAGCACTATGTCTTTTAATTTCCTGGCTACTGGTGCCAAGAGTGTTGACTGTGGAGCCAAGCAAACTAAAGCTGTAAACAATCTTAATCTCTTCACCATCCATCCTGATGCTGCCAATTGGTCCATAGATATACAGTGTGAATATGCATATTTTTTTTCTCTGGGATAAATATTAAGGAGTGCAATTGCAGGAGTACTTGGTCCTTGTAATTTTAGTGTATCTGTCCACAACATTTTAAAATTCTCTGTCTCCAGCTCTCTGCACATTTTGTTATAATATTTTACCTTCTCAAGCTGCCTTCTGAAATCTCTTGTTCACCTCTTTTACTTCAGTTCAGCATCTCTTCCTTTAATTTTGGCTTCTTGAACCTCTAATGCAATTTTTATAGTCTCTTCTGACAAACATTTTGATTTTTTCTCTTTTCCTTCTCTATAATGACCTTTTGCTTTCTTCATGAATGATATCTTTGATATCCTCCTACATTTCCTCTGCTCTTCAATCGTTAATGTTCAATGCCTCAAACCTACTCTTGAGATGGTTCTTAAATT